TAGAGTGGTCTCTTTATTTTTCCACAGTTGAAAGTTGGGCTTGGGCTCAGGCAAAATTTCAGGTCCATGCGTAGCTCTACCCTGGATATGATGTCATCAAAAGGCAGATTTACCCACGGTATGGGCAACTTATGAACACCAGTTTTCCTAACTACATATCTCTTGCATGTGGGAGGAAACTGGAATGTGTGGAAGTAACCAATGCCAAACGAGCACATACAGACTCCACAGACACGCAGAGGGGGGACCGGCAGAGGTGGGAATAGGCAGAGGCAGAAATAGGCAGAGGCGGAAATAGGTAGAGGCGGGACAGGGCTACCTCTCCATGTGTCAAGCCAATTAGTTCAGAAATCTCATGAATTGCACAAGATTTTATCAGGGTCTAATCATTTCATAATTATCATTATTTTTTTTTTAATTACGTTGAATTTTATAAGTCTTAAGATAATGTCACTGGCATTGAATGGGAACCACAAGAGGGCACTGTCCTGACTGTACTCTTCAGTAAACTTTGGATATTATAACAATGAGTTCATTGTTATAATACCCAAAGTTTACTGAAGAGTACAGTTAAAGTCACATACAAAACAGTTTATGAATATATCAATCAACATTTTTATTTAATGAAAAAAGGCATTTATTATGCTTTTGATTGTAAATACATACAGTTCTTTGAAAATCAAACTTTAAGATCAAATCAGAATGATTTGAATGATCAGTGTTCAAAATCCTGAATTTGCACCCACCATATTTCAAGTGAAGACAGATGTGAGACCTCTTAGATACATGTTTTTGCTTAACACAATCTCCTAACGCTCCCTGGCCGAGCTTATTAAGACCTTACAGCCAAGTGGGTACGCAGTGGAAAGGTTACAGGCATCCAGTGCATGCGACATTGACGCATATTTCACACAGGTCGGGGTCTCTCAGCACATTCACTGTAGGGAAAAAAGTACAGATGAAAAAGTGTTAAAAACCTTTTGGCAGACAGTGGACCTTTCTTATCCTCTGAAACACTGCATTAACAACAGCAGGTCATCACCAGCGGTTTGTGGTGCCTCTAACGGCTGCTACATGGTATTTACAGTCCATGAGGTGACGGTTTATTTATAGTGTGGTTTATTGGGGCTACTACAGCACTGTAAGATGGGGGAGGGGGGCAAAACACAGACAGTAACTGCCACACAAGCAAGGTCCATGTCCCTGTGTTTTGACGATTGTAGCTGGGGGCAATTTTGTTCCTAATGCAAGATGTCCATCATCTGGTTGGCTGGGGTGTTTGGATGGTCACCTATTCAAATGATCACGCACGCTGTATCTCACAGTTTAATTGTTCAGCGGTGGTAAGCCCAGAAAGCTTGCAACAGGGCTAACTAAAAGTCTAAGGTCCCGTCATGACTGTCATTTACAGGACCTGGTATAGACTGACCTCCCCCACTTCCCCAGCCTGGTATAGACTACCTAACCCCACTCACCCAGCCTGGTATATACTCCCCCACTTCCAAAACCCGGTATATACTGACCTCACCAACTTCCTAAGCCTGATATAGACTACCCACCCCCACTCACCCAGCATGTTATAGACTGACCTCCCCACTCCTCCAGCATGGTATATACTGACCTCCCACACCCCCCCGACCTGATATAGACTGACCTTCCCCACTCACCCAGCTTAGTATAGACTTACCTTCTCCCGCTCACCTGGCCTGGTATATACTACCCACCCCCACTCACTCACTTAGTATAGACTGATCTCCCCCACTCACCCAGCCTGCTATAGACTGACCTCCCTCACTCACCCAGCCTGATATAGACCGACCTTCCCCACTCACCTGGCCTAGTATAGACTATCCACCCCCACTCACCCAGCTTAGTATAGACTGACCTCCCCCACTCACCCAGCCTGGTAAAGACTGCCCCTGGGCTCTTGTCCAGACACACGGACTGAAACTCCACAGGCAGCCTTGGGTCGGCACAGGCAGTGGCTGGGTCACTCTTCAGTAGTCGTGGACTTGCAGCATCGCCACCATCCGTTAGTTCTTTCAAGAGCTTGACAGATTCCAGGGTGAAGCTGAGCTCTCCATCCTGCCAGTCAAAGCAAGTAAAAGGGAATTATACAGGAGCAAATCCACAGCGGTGTTAAACATTTCAGGTTAAGCTTCACACTGTGCATATTTAAATTCAGCTCTGAAAATTCTGATTTGTCTGCTTCAGTTGACATTTCCATCCATCCATCCATCCATCCATCCATTCTTAGATCATGCTAAGTACAATTTGGAGTGGAAACTGGAGTACCTAGAAAAACCTGCTTGGGTTTAGGGAGAACATGCAAACTCTCCCTAACAGCACAGGGGAGTGGAAGTGAAATCCTCAGCCCTGTAATTGTGAGGCTACAATGCTAACCATGCAGTGACATTTCAAAGAAGGTATTTTATCTGAATGGTTTATACAGTATATTGGAAAACCCAAGGACAAGTGAAGTGAATGACACTGATTATTTTGTTACAATGGAAACTGTCAAGGGTGCCATTATATATTAGGCAAGTGAGAAAGTAATACTTTGTAAATGTGCTATACAAAAATTGAATTGGATTGAACTGTCAGTTTGTGAAGTTGCTGTGTTGGGAGCAGGAAAAATGGGTACGTGTAAGGATCTGAACGACTATGACAAGGACCAAAGTGTGATGGATAAACAGCAGGTCTTTTGGGGTGTTCCCTGTATGCAGTGGTCAGCACCTACCAAACGTGGTACAAGAAAGGTCAAGTAGTGAATCAGCGATGGGGTCATGGGCGCCCAAGACTCACTGATGCGTGTGGGGAGTAAAGGCCAACCCATCTTGTCCGATTCCACAGGAGAGTTAATGTAGCACAAACTGCTGAAAAAGATAATGCTGACTATGATAGAAAGGTGTCAGAACACACAGTGCATCACAGCTTGCTGCATATGTGGCTGCATAGCTGAAGCCCAGCCAGAGAGCCCATGCGGACCACTGTTCACTGGCGAAAGTGCCTACAATGGGCACGTGTCAGAAATGGACCGTGGAGCAGTGGAAGAAGGTGGCCTTGTCTGAGGAGTCACAGTTTCTGTTACATGGTGTGGACGGCCATCTTTGTGTACGTCCTTTACCTGAGGGAGAGATGGCACCAGAATGCACTATGGGAAGAAGGCAAGCTAGTGGAGGCAGTGTGGTGCTCTTGGCGATGTTCTGCTGGGTATCCTTGGCTCCTGGCCTTCATTTAGATGTTACTTTGAGATGTACCACCTACCTAAACATTGTTGCAGACCAAGTGCACCCCTTCATGGCGATGGTATCCCCTGATGGTAGTAGCCTTTTTCAGCAGGATAATGAGCCCTGTCACACTCCAAATGTTCAGGAATGGTTTGAGGAACATGATCAAGGGGTTGACTTGGCCTCCAAATTCCCCAAATTTCAATCCAATTGAGCATTTATCAGACGTGCTGAGCAAACAAGTCTGATCCATGGAGGCTCCACCTCACAGCTTACAGGACTTAAAGGATCTGCTGCTAACGTCTTGGTGCCAGATACCACAGGACACCTTCAGAGGTCTTGTGGAGTCCATGCCTCAGCGGGTCAGAGCTGTTTTGGTGGCACAAGAAGAACCTACATAATATTAGGCAGGTGGTTTTAATGTTATGGCTGAACGATAACTTTTTTATGTACGAATTTTTCCAGTCAAAATTAGTTCAACACATTAAAATGCTTAATGCTCATTTGGTTCAAAACAGATCGGGAACAACACTAACTGAAACTAGTTCAAGGTTTCATACCACAGCATTATTATTTGATAGCACATAACATTAAATGCTAATTGTTATGATTAATAATTATCTTAAAACTGGATTAAGTAGAATAACAGTTGTGTCTAGGCACTACTGATGATGCATCTCAAATTTTTCAACCTATACCAAGCCTCTCCAAGTCTATTATTTGCCATCCACCAACAAGCTTAACAGTGAACCTGTTGTACATGCTTGCACAAAGAATAGTAACATCTTTGCACAAAGGATAGTAATAGCTTATCCTGTGTTTCGAAATCTGTAAGCATTGATTTTTTTTTAGCTGTTCACTGTTATTCCAACTTTCAGGAACCATATGCAACGTTTTTCTCATCACTATATCAAAACAGCCAAGTCACTACTGTATATTCAAGAGAAACAAAGCCTTTTTCAATGTAGTGTAGGATAAATTGTGAGGTCATTCATTAATTTGCTTTCTTTAAAGCACGATTTCTACCTGAGGTCTTTAGGTGTGCAGGGCTGCATTCAGAATCCTCTCCACTGAACCTTCAATGGAAATTAGCCATAAAACTGGAAAACCTGGATTCACTATATGCTCGAGTAACCAGATAATCCATGTCAGGGAGGAAACTTTGAGCTGCTTTAAAATTGCTCCTGTGCTTGGATAACACGTCCAGTTCTTTTTGTGCTTTGACTGGTTTGTTTCCTTGAATGAAAGACTCATCTGGCTATGTCACATTAGCATTAGCGACACATGCATGATTATTGGAGACTGACCAATCAGCACACAGCAGGAAGTGTTTAAGTGAGATACAGGTCCTTTTAATTGAAATGGTAGTTTGCGAATCCTGTTCTAGCTCAGAGTTTCCTCCCTGACATGGATGATCTGGTCAGCCAGCTAAAAGCAGGAGATTATGCAAGGCCTGGTCAGAAAGAAAAGCAGCTTGCTGGCATTATTTTGCTCCTGAATTTTACTCACCTTGAGTCCAAAGGTTATAAGCAAAGACTCTATATCACTGTACAAACCATGGCCAGAACCACAGAATGCTGTTTGTCTGGCCCACCCTAGTGGTAAGAACAAGCCTTTATTTATAGTATAATAAAACATTTTATGCAGGTGTTTAAACAGGTGGCTACTGTTTGGAAACCAGAGAACATCTCAGGGGAACCTGATTACCTGAGCTGTACTCCTGGTACCACTGTTAGATGTACTTTCTGCATCTGTGGGATGGACTTGTTGTTGTCTACCCATCCATCCATCATCATCCAAGGTTGCATTGAGGTGAGCACATCATTTTCCTAATGTCGGCAGACACTGTAGATCACGGTTCCTCACTGCTGGGAAACCTGATTGCACGTCCGTGAGAATCGCCACTGCCGATTCCAGCTGACATTGAACTCAAGGTTTCTCTGGCAGGTGGTTAACACACTAGACCATGAACTGGAGCTCAAACAGATCTGCTGTGTGTTTACAACACATAAATTTACTGGTAGCTGACTGGGGATATTGATTAGGTTTAGGGTACAATTAAGCACGGGGCATTTTTAAGTGACTTTACAGTTTATTCGTTTAATAAACTGACTGCTTTAGTTAGTTTATTGCAGTGGTGCTGTGTGTGTGTCTGTGTGTGTGTGTTCATCATGATTGGCTGTTTTACAATGAATAAATGTCTACCATCACAGGGAATCCGCACGCGCTAAGCACCTACTAAATTCACCTAAAATGTCTTTGGAGTAAACCCACCCAAACATGGTGAGAACAAACACACAGAAATTGTACCCACAATCCCGGAAGTGCACAACCATGATGCCACCTACTGGCTGAATTCTTTTACCCCAGGTGGAAAATCATGGACAACAAACTAAGGTCCCAGCTCCTTGCTGTTTGTTAAATAAACACAACCTGGATCAGATTCAATAAAGGAAAAAATTTAAGTGTTTGGTAAGACTGAGATGTCCTTTATCTGGCTGAAAATGTACAGGTTCATGAATCTGCAGCTACCCCCCCCCCTTTACCACCCAAACAGAGAAGAAAAACAACTGAGCATGGAGGAACGCATGACAAGAATTTCAGTGCTCCTCTGCCCCCTTTCCAGCTTTGCGAAGTCGAACTCACCCGAACCCTGATGCCCATTGTGCTCCAGATAAGGCAGGAGGTGAGGATCACAGACACAACAGCCGATCTCATCCTGAGGAACAAGCTCACAGCACCAGACTGGACTCAGGAGAACAAAATATACCAGAGGTTTGTCGGGACCCTAAGCAATATATAAAGCTTACTAAGTAACCTATTAAAGATGTAAGAATGAATCAATGAAGGAATATTTAGCTTTGTGATAACTAAAGAGGATGGGAAATACTAATAAACTAGATCCTCTTTTCATTTTTATAGACCCCGCCCCCCAAATTATCTTTGAGCAGCGTTGTTGAATGACGTTTGCTATAAATCTGTGTTTGTTGAGGAGTTCAGCCTGGAGACGGATTCTGGTGGGAAAGTGTCGCGCACTGTGATTGGCTAGTGTTTGCGTCCAGAATTCTCACCTGTCCCTGACAAGGTGTAAATATGACTGGTTTCAGACGCAAGCGATGAGGTAGATACCTTTGGAGCTCGACTACAGCTGTTTACTGATGGGAGGGTTAGCACAGTAAGTTCACACCTCTAGGGTTATGGGTTCGATTCTTTCCCATAGTGCTATGTATGTGTGTGTGTCTCTCTCTGTCTGTGTCTGTGAGTTGATTGGTTACCCACAATGTAATACATACAAATAATGTAATACAAACATTTTTCCAGTCCCCACAAGGGAAAACTCAATTTTGTAAAAAATAACTGTATATAATCAAAACAGTAAAAAATGCTAGAAGTCTTGTATTTTGTTTGACTACTTATGGTTAATGTTAGGGCTGGGTACGGGTTAAGGGTGTCATGATTGAGATTAGGGTTATGCACATAGAAATGAATGGAGAGTCTCCACAAAGATATAGATACCTAATCTATATGTGTGTGTGTGTGTGTGTCTGTCTGTCTGTCCATCTGTAGAATTTGCTTGAATGTTTTCGGGAATGTATTATGAAAGAAATATACACTCTATAGTCAATACTAACAGTTTAATAAACATGCGATATTAATGGACTCCATGTACTGTATCTTGTGAGTATTTAACAGCCAATCACTTTACAGTTGCTCAGCATAATTTAGTAAAAAAAAGGCAAAGCAATACTGATCATATGCAAACAGTTGTAACTGCTCAGAAGACCCAGGAAACTTCTTGTGTACATGAAAAACAAAAAATATACCTTGTGGCAGGACAAGGAGTCTCCGGAGACAAAGGTACAGACCGGCAGACCAGTGCTGCTTGAGGTGGCCAGGTTTATAGGTTTATTGAGGACACAAGGGAACATTGTAGAACAGGGGGTCTGTTCTGAGGTGACAGTCATCCTCTGGTTTTCCTTACCTCACAGTAGGAGGTGCAGCCATCCTCCAAAATCCTTCTAAAAAAGAACACATGTACAAGCCTTCCCTTTTACTTTTCTTCCAGCTTTAAGCCAGGAAGGGAAAACTATCTTGTCCTCTGATTGGAGCACAGCAAAGGAAGACTGCTTTCTGATTGGAGCACAGAAAAGGAAGACTGCTTTCTGATTGGAGCACAGCAAGGGAAGACTGTCCTGCCCTCTGACCGGAGCACAGCAAGGGAAGACTGTCCTGCCCTCTGACCGGAGCACAGCATGGGAAGACTGTCCTGCCCTCTGACCGGAGTAGGGTAACCCTAGGGTAACCCTAACCCTAACCCTAAACCTAACCCTCTGACTGAAGCAATCATTGGTTGCTAGCCATGCCCCAATGGCTGATGGTGAGCAAACCACGGTTATCGGGGGTCTGCGTGGTGCTGATCACATTCTCCTAGTATATGACGACTTCCCAATAGGCTGTTGCATCACAGCATCTACATTACATTGCTGACCAGTAGTTGTTTCCCTCCAGAGAACTGTATGACCATAACAGGATATCCCTGGATTTGGCAGAATAGTCACATTTCCATTCTTGAGGGAGACCCTTAACCCCCAGCTCCAAGGGCACTGCACGCTGCTTGACCCTGTGCTGTGACCCCCGCGCTTGCTCTCACCTCTGTATGTGTCCCTCTGGGGTAGGCAAAGAGAAGCTTTCCCATGTACCTGAACTTGTACTTGTGCAAATGGCAAGTAAAAGATCATTTCATTTCATAAAAACAAACTGTTTGACAAAATGCTTTTGAGCCACTACACCTAGGTAAAGCATTACCCTATATCCATCTAACCAGCAGTAAATGTGCAGAGGAAACTCAAACTTTTCTCAACTAAAGTGACCCATCATACCCTACATCCTACTGCACTTAGCCTGGTCATATACATCGATGAGCCAAAACATTATGATCACCCACACATAAAGTGATCATATAGACTTTCTCATAAAAATGGTGCGTATCAAGGTACTGGATACATTAGATTGTAAGCAAATAATCAGTACTCATATTTGACATTCTGATTGCAGAATAAATGGGCAGGAGTAAAGTCCTGAGTGACTCTGACAAGGGCAAAATCGTTATAGTCAGATAACTGGGTCAGAACATCTCTCAAATGGTGCTCACGGTCAGCCATAGTACCTACTGACAGTGATCCAAGGAGGGAAAATCTTGTGGGACTTACACAAAACTGTTCTGAGAGCGGGATGAAAAATGGTTGGTTATCTCTCTGAACCAATCGGATTGTAGAAGTGATGGGACCAAGACATCTGATTGGTTGGTCCTGCCTCCTCTAGCTGCTTGGACCCATCTCCTCTACAGTTTGATTGGTTATCTCTCTGAAATCATTTTTCAGTCTGCCCTCAGAACATTTTTGTGTAATTAAAACTCCCATGAGTGAGAGAAAAACCACAAATTGCTGGCAGGGTGTAGCCAAGACTCATAGATGTGGGATGTGAATGAAGGGTAACCCATCTGGTACAAACCAACAGTAGGGCTACTGTGGCACAAATGGCACATAATTTTGATGTTGATCATGGGAGTAACGTATCATGACATGAGGTGCATCAAGCACTGCTATGTTTTTATGAGATCATTACTTCACGTGAGGGTGATTATAATGTTTTGGCTCATAGGTCTATCCATTAGCTTAGTCAGCTATAACACTGTTTGAGGAGCATGGCATGTGCAAGAGGTCAGGAAGAATCATAATCAGAATCTTTATTGCCACCAAGACCGGTGTAAATTTCTGTTGGCAAAGCTCACTGCTGTTGGAGACAAGACATACTGTATAGACAATGAACAGTTAGGGTATAAACAGACAGAGAATGCATACAAGACACAAGATACAGAACAGTGAGGGGAAATGCAAGATGTTTGCAAATTCATGTAGTGCAATGAAAGGTCACACAGGCACAACACAGACAAAATACATCCTTACATATACTACATGATGTACATCACATGTAATGTTCTATTATGATGTACAAATTGACGGTCAGGGGTCTAAACAGTCAAATGATGAAAATGTTACATTTTTGTTTGAATACTAGCAGGGGATACTGTTGAGAAGTTTGATGGCACTGGGGAAGAAATCATACTTGTGTGTTGTTGTGTGGTGAGTGATCTGAGTAATCTTCCTGCGGGAAGCAGGAGAAACAGATCATTCGCTGATGTGAGGGGCCCTCGTTATCCTTCCGCCATGATTAGTGGTGCGTTGAATGTAGAGGCGTTCAATTGACAGCAGGGCAGAGCTACAGATCTTTGAGGCCTTGATGGCAATTCTCTGAAGTCTCTTTGTAGTGATACACTCTGTTCCAGCATACCGAACTGTGAGGAAACATGTCAGGGTGCTCTCTATGACGGAGGTGTGAAACTGTACAAGAAGGTGACGACTGGCACAGGACTTCTTCAGTTGCTTGAGGAAAATACAGGATGTGGTGTCAACACACCATTCAGTCACACCTATGGGCAATTCAGTAACTCCAATCAGCTTCCGCATGATTTCGGTCTGTGGGGGGAAACTCCACAACCACATGGGGGGGGGGGGGACATCCAAACATCACACATACCTGTATAGAACCCAGGTCCCAGGGGTGTGAATCAGCAGTGCTAACCACTGCACCACCATAGATGGTGCCAAGTAGCATGGTCAGTATGGTCATGAAGGGCCGGGGATGACTTACGCTTCATAGAAACTCAATAGTGTTAATAACCCTAAAATTAGATATACGTCTATTTTATTTCCACAAAGATCGTACTGGGCCCAAACCCAATGGCTTGCTGGTGACAATCCAGATAAGCAGCTGTTACACCATCATTCCCAGTTTCATGGCGCCAAGCAGAATATCACAGATAGGAGCAGCATGAATTTACCAGGTTTATGTGGGTGGAGAAGGACAACCTGCTGAGTATAGACGTCCTGTAATTTCAACGGCTCCGTTTCAAGTTCGGTTAATAAGTGTGTATAAAACATGGCATGGAAAATCAAACAGAAGATAAAAGCCTTACTCACAAACAGTTGTATAGTTTTAGATTTAATAACTGTATGAATAAGTCTACCACTATTAAAGCCTGAAAAAATGCTTATTTGTATATCTGTACCCAGCAGTCTGAAGATAATCAGCAATGAAAATCGTCAAATTTGGACCAACTCCCATTTCGAGTAGCAAATGTAACATTTTCCATAAATTCATATTGAGTAGTTCTCACATTAAAAGGAGTTTGTGAACTGGAGGATGAAACTCTACTGTCCTCAACAACGGCATTTTATTTAACCTGAGCCGGGTTATGATTAACAACCATCTGGTTTAAAGTGCTAAAACAATAAAGACATCACTGAATTCACACGGCCGTCAGCCACGTCTCAAGCGAAGATCTCCGTGGGGGACGTGCAGCCTCACCTGCACAAATGGGCGTGACTCCTCCCCTTCAGCTACCTGGCCAATAGGATGGCTGGAAAAGTATCACTCCTTCAACTCACACGATGGCCACAAAACAGACAGTAAAACAGTAGGTGTTTGCCTGTACGTTACCGACCAAAACTGTCGCCCTGCCAATCATAACAAACCTTGTAAACTATTATCCACAAACTGTAATCTGTAATCCCAACAGTACACACAGAATTTTCACAAGATCCAGAATATCCTTAAATCTTATCTTTGCAACAAATAGGTTACCAGTTAAATTATACACTTCATACTGGATTTATGTTCTTTTGGTTAATTATTTCCTGTGGAATAAAGTATCATAAAATTTTCTTTTGGATAATTAGAAGAACATCAACAGGTAATTAAAGTGGGACCTACTTTGTAGTTGTCAACATTAGCCTATATGCCTTGGTTTTCCCTTAATTTTTAAAAAATCCATCCATTCATCCATCCATCCATCCATATTCTTGTGGAGCTCTATTTGATTATGCAGTACCATCATAGTTTTTTGTTTTGTTTTCCAATGCTTGCAATAAAGGGAACAATCTTTTAAAAAGAGTTTTAAGTCTTTTATTAAATGCTTGAAATATGAATAAACAATGTCAACTTACAGATACAAACCACTAGTAGCTATAAAAATAGTCTCTACTCTATTTTAAATATGTAATAACAGACAACTTACAACCTATGAAACAGAAAAAAACAGAGCAGTTCTTAAAAAAAACAGGGAAAATAAGTTTTATAATAGTAACAAAGTCAGTAAAAAGTTGTTTCAATCATCGCACTGTTGTACAAATAATATATATTATCAAGGTGAAATAAAAAGCTTCTCGCAATTTGTTTTATTGATTTGCACAAAATTCCCCCAAGAAACCACCAAACAGCACCCCCTCCCATTTTATGGTTGCTAACAAGCTTTCAGTGATGAGGTCATCAATGACAGCATGCTTTAAGGTCTGCCGGGGGTCACTGGTCTCCACGCAGTGCGGCTTTTTTCCACCAGCTTCCAACTGGGGACGGGCATCTCAGCAGCCGGTGCAGGCGGCGAATGCGCAGATCTCGCATATGTCCGAATTTTGTGCCACGACACCTGTGGATGGAAAAGTCGAGTAGATGGGATGAGTGTGCGCTGAAGGCAGTGCGTCTGCGGCTCCTGAACACGCATCCGGGTAGCAAAAAGATCAAAGCCACACACTCCCTCACCAAGACGTCTTATCGCTATCAGTGATTTCGCTTAAGATTAACGTCGCCTGCTGAAATTAGTTCTGTGATACTGCTGTTCTTTCAGCATTGATAACATGGATTATGAAATTTCCTGTGCCCCCCCGCCCCCTCCCCCCCAACCAGACCTTCCACTTAAACTCTTACCAAGTCGGTATATTGACATGCTCGCCTTCTTGCTCCTACACAGGGGTTTGAATTCATCAGGCAAGGCAGGGTGGACGCAGACGGCTCTGGTCATGGTGTCCGCCAGCCGTGGGCTGGGGTTTCTGGTGACGATGGCGTCTATCAGCTCTTTCAGCATTTTCACGGACTCCAGTGAGAAGGTGAAGTCTTCCTCCTGGGAAAGAGAATAGATTGAGTCATATACATGGTAGCTGGTGGAACGGAGGAAGGACACATGCAGAGAGATGCCGGTCATCAGAACCATGCTTGATTTTTTTGAACACTGAAGGTTCAGACCTGTATCTCAACACGTTAAGGAAGACTCACACCCATCATTTCAGACTTTATTATCAGTAGTGCTGTTTCAGCCTGTTTTAGACCAGTCCATCCACATCAGACCACATCAGCACCAGTAAAAACATCAAACAAAAGAACTACAAAAGCATCATTTGAAATAAGTCTTTAAAGGGTTGAAAAACTCACCTTAACCTGGACAGCCTGAGAGACTATGCAAAAAACTGCGAGTAGAACAGCGAGTGTAAGCTTTGTATTCATTTTCTCCGGCAGTCCTCTCTGTTTTGTTCTTGTCTTTGTAAAGGCTTCTAGATTGTTCTGCAAAGCGATTTTCCTGAATGTCTGTCATACCCTCTGCATCTCTCAGTATTTAACGGATACCGCTTACAGTCTGGCAGGCTTGCCATTGGCTGAGCTGTGTCGGACCAAAGTCTCATGGTTAATGAGTTAATGATGGGACAGAGTTGTTTATTAATGTCATAAAGAGCAACTCCTAAAATAATAAATCCTCTCAGCCCTTCTGTGGTCACAAAAGAACAATGCCAGAAAGTGTGAACGTACTGCAGACGTTTGTCGCATTGCTTGTAAAATCTGTCACACCTCACACATTGAGAACACTTGGGAAAGCAAAATTGATACAATATGTAAAGTGCGAACATGTCTTTACGCAAAGGCACAAATATGAAGTCAATTGTCTTGTTTTTTTGAATAAATTCTGTGTTGTGTGTCTGAGAATTTCCCATGGGGATTAATGAAGTATCACTATTCTATTCTATTCTATTCTATTCTATTCTATTCTATTCCATTTGGGTTGCAAGGTGACACAGGGGGTACAGTTGCTTCACACCTCCTGGGTTGGGGCTTCGGTCTGCGTGTTTGTCTGGAGGTTGTATTGTCTGCTCGTGTCTTGAAGGTTTCCTCTCAGCACTTTGCTTTCCCCTCAAAGTTCGAAAATTTGCAAATAGGCCAAACGACAGTGTGTGCATGAATGTGCCCCGTAATGGGGTGGCATTCTATCCAGGGTGTACGCCTGCCCTGTGCCCCGTAATGGGGTGGCATTCTATCCAGGGTGTACGCCTG